TAACCAACTAACATGTATTTACACTACTGCCAACATATTTACAATTAATTATAAAACAGGTCCCTGATCACAACTAAGAACTATTTACACAATCAATTGCTAATATGTACATCAACCTGGATCTAAATCTTCAAGTCTTGGTTCCTTCATCTCAACTTTAATCTCTGATAGTATTCAATTTGGTTATTATCTACCATTTTCTATTCCCCTATTCACAGGTAGACGTATAAATCAATATGATTTTTGTACAATTTCTTTTAATAAAAGAATCTATAGGTGTTCCATCCTTCACCGTAAAGTGTCAAGTTTGTAAGTTGAAAAGTTTAGAAAACAAAAGTTTATAGTTGTACCCCTCCCATCTCAAAATTATTGTCAAGTTTGGCTTTTCATTTTTAGTTTGGCTTTTCACTCCTCTAGCCAACACCCTAAATTCATCCTCGAGAGCTATCTTAAGACATGGGAAATCTGATATTTTGAAATCCCAACTGAATTCAATGAAAATCAATCTGCGGTCTTGACGAACCCACTCAAAATTCTCGAATTCATGGGGAAGAAGGCCAGTATCGGGCGACTTGAGCCTCCTACAATACAACGGCCGACCGTGAAATCGATTGCCTTGCCGGTAATGACGACGGCTTCAGACTTCGTTGATCGAAGTTCTGGTATGAAACCCATTTCACTAGTTTCAATGGCTGTTTCTGAAATGAGTGTAAATCCTTTATTCCGCTAGAATTCGCCTTTTATTGTTGATAATGCATAGCTCTGATTCGAAGTGAACTATTTCCTCTGTTTGATATTTTGTCCTTTTGAAATCATACACAATTACGTGAACTCGTGACCGAAATGAGTGTCGATGGATGGGTATCGTTGTTTATAGCATGTTTTGTTTTCCTGAATCTCATAGAATTTGATTAATCGGGTAGAATAATAATCTGCTGAGAAAATGGGTTAAGATGTTCTGTGATCTGTTCTTATTGCTCTGTTCTTGCATTTTTGCACGGGTTCAATGACGCTATAAGTTGTTCCGAAAAAATACTTATTTTTTCCTTCCAATTTACGTTTAAATAAGTGTGTATTTGTCATTACATATGCTCTGTCACAGGCTGATTGAGTTGAATGTAAAAAGACGGACAAGGTGGATGGTTCCCTTTGAAATTGATCAATTGCGCAATTGCAGGCTGTAGTTTTCCTAGTGCGGTTATGTAGCATTTGGTTATCAATGTTGGGATAAACTCTTGAGAATTTAGAGAAGAAAAAGAAGGAACGTTTTCTTAGAGTTTAGGGGCTTCTTCAATGGCACCAGTCCGGAAACGCTCTAGATCATCTGATCTACCTACTGATAGGATCAGCAGTTTACCAGATTCAATCATTTCTCACATCCTTTCCTTTCTCCCGGCCGAAATATTTGTTAGAACAAATGTTCTATCAAAAAGGTGGAAATTAGTCTGGACTAAAGTACCCACTCTTTGTTTTTACCAAGATAATGAAAAGTGTAACAAAAGAAGGATGGCTTTTTCAAACTTTGTTTACAAGGTATTTCTTCACAACAATGTTGAATACTTGCAGAAGTTTGAGCTTCAGTGGACACCATCTCGTCCATTTTCTGGTTGTCCGGTACTACATTCTCTCAAAATATCTGGTCACTCTAATAAAGACATACCGGTATATAAGGTCTCTCTCTGCCCATTCATTTAGATGTCTTAAAATTAGCAATTGCAAAGGATTAGAAGTAGATGCACCAGCCCTTCAAAGTATCAAACTTGACTCTTTCGGGTGGTGCAAATTGTCAATGAGGCCACCAAAATCTAATTAATGAAGTGAATCTTATTTCTTGTAAGGATGTTGTGGACAACGACAGTGATGGTGTTAATGAATCAAAGATTGATAAATGCAACTCGGCTACACAGCTGATTCAACCTTTCAACTCCGCGCGCTTGCTGAGTTTAGGCGAAAGCTTACTAACTGGTCTTAGCCGTGCTACTACCCCACTGTCAGCCTGCTTTGACAGATTAATCGAGTTAGATGTTGCATGCAAATGCTGCCAATGGAGCTTTTTGAGTGCTATGCTTGAATGTTCCGTGCAATTGGAAGTTCTTGAAGTTTCAATCAACACATGTGATGAGGAAACTCATAAAGAATGTTGGAGCGACCCCAAGGAGGTTCCGCGATGCTTGTTATCTACTCTCAGGTACTTTTCGTTCACGAGACTTGATGGCCTCAAAGATAGGATGGAAATGATAGAGTATAATCTAAAGCATGGTGCAATGTTGAAAAGAATTGAATTAGTTTCCAATGCTAGTTATTGTGAGTTTGAAACCAAATTTAAAATGCTTGAAAAGATATCCATGTTCCCCAGGGCTTCTACCTGTACAATCAAATTCCACTAGTATACCCTGTGAAGTTTGCAATTTGTTCCAGAAGATGTTCTCTGAAAGATTATGTAATGGTGCATATCATGTCCTTGATATCGTTCCATCTAGCTTTTTAGACCTTTTAATTTCATTCTCTTTATGTTATCTTGTACTTTTTAGTAGCTGTGGAGATTTGTTTCCTGTATTTATGTTCTTTTAATCTGAACTCCTATGTTATGTACCTATGGCTAAGTGAGTTGCTAGAACTTTGGTCATGAATGTTTCTCATAGTAGCATGTGCTTTGCTTGAGTTTAATTTGAATGTTCAATGAACCTCCTACTTCTGAGTTTGACTATATAAGAAGATTAGAATGTTCTAATTTTAGCTCAAGCTTTACAGCATTCTATACAGCAAGCGAAAGAAATTACTTTTCTTTTGGTTTGAGGCCAACAATTTTCTGTACGATTAATCTCAGGTTAGAGAATATGGTTCTTGATCTGATTGCTTCATGGTGAATAGGATTAGACTGACATGGTGCGAATTCGTTAACTTATCATTAGCTAAGGAAATGCCGAACATTTTTCTTCATGATTTTAGTCGGTAGAAAGGATTAGATTGACATGATGCAAACTAGTAAAACTATCAGTAGTTGAGGAAACATCACACATTTTTCTCGACGATTTTAGTTTTCTTCGATGTATTAAGGCAACTTGCATGCTGTAGAATGGTAAGAGTTTCTACATTTATCCGTTGATAATTGTATGAAACTGATGTAACAGAGTGACATGTTTTTGAGCTTCTTAGGATTTTTTATTTTTATCCCCTTTAAATTCTCAAATGGCTCATCGTTTTTTCTCGAAAAAATTAAAAGGACAACAGCTCTCCCGTCTGATAAACTTTTAGGACTCAGTTTCTGTGCCGACAAAAGAGATGTGCAATGATATAAGATAAGTTCCTTGTTTTCTGACATTTTCTTTGCAAGAGCATGAGGAGCTTGTGTTATTTTTCCTGTTGAGTTTTGTGAAGTAGGGTTGTTTACTGCGAAATGTAGAGAAAGAAACTATATACGAGGATACTTGAACCGAACTTAAAGAAAAGAATTGGACTGAAGGACAGCTGATCATCAGGACTAAAAGAAAAGTGGAATGATTAGCCATGGTTTTGAACGCTAAGCTTCAAATCCTCTACCTAATTTTGTTTCCCCTCCACAGCCTCCATTTACCTAATTACTTGCCTGTTTTCCCCTCACTCCCTCCCTCCATATTTTTAATCAATATTTCAAAATCAATATAGCAAGGGTTGAAACTGCATATTTTGTGGTATATATATTGGTCGTTCATGAATTGAGTTGATCGTGAGACTAATGAAAGCTGTGCATTGGGGCTAAATCTTGTGCACTTCTCTTGTTGCTTACTACTTTTTTTTTTTCCAAGTATAATGTGAGTCCTAAAGCTCTCACTTGTTTGCTCCGTGATCTCTTCCCAACTAATCTTCTCTCTGATAAATACCTCTTAAATGTCCTTTGTTTGGATGACGTTCAATTTCTTTTTTCCCCTTTTTCAAAAGCGACTTTGTCCTTTACGATTTTCATATTACACTTATTCAAGGATTTCTTTTTAATGTGCACATACGTGAAAAATTTGTTCTGTTCCTGATATGCTAATTGCATGGATTTGCAGATCTTCAACGGTTTGAAGCTTAAATGGCAAAAATTCCTCACATGATAAGATTAAAAGTTTGGTCAATCTGTAGTTTTCTATTCTTTTCTTTTTTTTTTTTGTTGTTGTTGTTTGAGCATCTCGAGAAAGGAAAAATGTTAAATTAGTCATCAACTTTCAACCCGACTTCAATTTAATGCTGATATTTTAGAAGAGCTCCAATTTTATTGCGATTTATCATAGTTCGGCCAATTTTGGATCAGCGTGGGCGTCGAGCGGAATGTGAACCATGAACACAATGTTCAACACCATTAACTATAAAGCCGTAGCGGCAAAACTCGTCAAGGCTATTAGAGTAAAACCTACAGTATAACCCGGATCTGATATAAACTATTGATGCCTTCCACGAGAGCAGGCGGAGATCTCCTCATAAACATTAAAACGAACAACAAAATAGTCGTGGAAGTAAAGTAATATGCACGTGAGTTTTGATTTTTGTGAAATAAATGTGAAGAGTATTTTAATTTGACAAAAACAACTAAACCTGGCATTGTATGATTATTAAATCTTACAATGGCGAAAGCCATTATCAGTGCTGTTGTCACTAGGGTAACAAAATTTGACAAGGACCTTCCTAATTTCGCTTTTAAAAAGAAACATAAAAAGACTGGTAGAGATTTTGAATTAATGAGTCGAAAAAAAAAACGAAATAATCTGTCATAGTATTATTGAAGTTGGAATTGAAGACTTTATAAATGTACATTCCATGATTTCAACCAATCCATATTTCTTGAAATATATGATTATTATTTATGAGCGGAGAAACAAAACATATGTAAAGTTTAAAAACCTAACCATTTACAAATTAAACCTCTCATTTGCATCGGAAAAAAGAGAATTTGGGTTCTATTTTCAGGTCGCCAAAGTTGGTTGATCATCCAACTTAGTAATCTCGTGGAACTTCATGCTTTCTGAAGAAATCTCTCAAACCAATATGATGATAGTTTTCGATATCTTTTCAAAGTGTTGTAATCAACAAAATTGAACCCAAAACGAACACTATATCCATTCAGCCACTCAAAGTTGTCAATAAGCGACCATCCATAATATCCTCTTACTCTAACTCCATTCCTACAACAACAAATGATAATCATTATGATGAAAACAATAGGAACGTAATCATTAATGAGAAATAAACTGAGAGATATTCTTACGAGATAGAGAAGATTAAAAAGAATAATGATAAGAAAGAAAGAAAAAAGAGGTTAAAATGAAACTTACTTGATTGCTTTGTGGGTGAACTGGAGATGACGATAGTAATATTGGATTCTGTAGTTATCTTGGAGCGCTTGCTCTAGTGGTAAGGAAGCATCATTTACTTCATCAATTCCTGGAAAAGAAAAATTAAAATGCGTGAAATCAACATGATTGATTATGAATTGATGATGTGGTGTACAGATTTCGGAGCATCCGTTTTTTGATTAATTACGTCAGAAGGATACTTTAAGATGGATTTTTACCATTTTCTGTAATGTAAATAACGGGATTCTTGTATCTTCTCTTTATATAGAGAAGAAGATTCCAAAGTCCTTTTGGATACGAATGAAGCCAATCTGATCCTGCCTGCAAATTAAGCCAACTATTTAGTTAGAAATAGTCTTCTTAATATATATGTTAAAATAAAATAATTTTACGAAATAGTAGCCAACTATTTAGCTAGAAATAGGCTTAATATATATGTTTATATAAAATAATTATACGAAATAGTAATAAAGAAATTTACCTGTTCTCCAATAAGTACGCCTTGACGAGTTGCTGCCATTTACAAAATATCAATTTTGTGTTCACAAACATATACAATAAAGATTCAAGAACAAATAAACAAAAAAATTACTCTCTCCTTTCAAAAAGACATAAATACTTTTTTGTTAAACTAAAACAGTAAACTAAGTAGGGATGGAACTAATTTTTTTTATTTTTAATGGTAAGAGCTGTTTACCGGTAAGATCCGCATGGTTGTCTGTACTATATCTTGCATGTGTTCTATTAGGAGGGTTGATGGCATGCGAAGCATATACCGCGGTGTAGTAATTCAAGCCATGGAAATCATACGACCCCCTTAACAACTTTGATTGTTTAGGTGTAAATTTTGGAAGACGATCACCAACAATAGCTTTCATCGTTCTCGGGTAATCACCATAAACTAAAGGATTCATAAACCTAGAAACAAATAGATCATGAAAAAAAATCACACGTTTTTAGGTAATACCAACAAGATAATAATTTCGAGTTTATGCATTCGTTAATTAAAATATGTTCCTCTACTAAACTTGTATAATAAACTTGTATATGTTTCTATCGTTATTCTTCAACAAATGAACCTAGCCCAATGAATAATAATAATTAAAAAAAGAAAAAGAAATAGACATACTTACCATCCATACATAAAATCAAGGGAACGTCTTGCAGCTCGCTGATCAAGCGATGAATTAGTCAAAGGCACCATCCAGTCACAATTATTTGTCATTCCAATGATACCTTTCTGATGAGCCTAAAATCATTAACATTTTCGAATTTAGCCATAGGAAATTTGTGAAAGTGTATAATAATGAAGTTTAAAACAAAACGAAGGAAAAAAATCAATAGTATTTAATGTTAAGTATATCAAGGACCTGGTATTTTCTTCTGTATAATTGAACTGCATATGCATGAGCCAAAAGTTGGTGATGAGATACTATATAAGGCTCGGTGCCGGAATCCCCTACCGTGCAATTGTTGTTCAGCCAAGGAGAACATCGTCCGGGAGCGCTGAGGCCATTGTCATAGCCAACACTATAACTATGGGGTTCATTGAATGTGATCCAAAATTTTACACGGTCGCCAAATCTCTCAAAACACAAATTTACAAAGTCTAGGTAATCTTTCCTGCAGTCATGGAAAATTCTCGTGTCATCGTGATGCAAATATTTTTTCATAATTTAGAATATCCATTTTTCTTTTTTGCTTAAAGATTACTACTTACACAATTTTGGGGCTCAAGAAACCACCATACTCGTCCTCTAATGCTTGAGGAAGTTCCCAATGGAATAATGTCACTGCTGGTGTCAACCCTGAATGTAGGACAAATTTATATAAATTAGACCCAAAGGAAAAAAACAAAAAAAAAAAGAGAGAAAAGAAGGAAAAACCGAAGCTAGTAATTAACAAAGATGAAATTAAGGAGAATAGCTAGATCGATTGCTGACATACCATTGGCAAGAAGTTCGTCGATGAGATTATTATAATACTGAATCCCTTTTTCATTTACGCCTTTGCTAATCTTGCCGGCTGCAAAAGTGTAAATATTTTTATAGAATAATGTACTGCCTCTTCATAGAGAAATGAATTTAATTCGATAAATCAAGATCTTATATATATGAGTGACTTACAAGGTATAAGTCTTGACCAAGAAATAGAGAAGCGATACGAATCTGTATTCATTTCCTTCAAAAGGTTGACATCCTCCTGCAAATTCATATGGCAAGGCGAAAGAATGACATTCGTTTTTACAGCAGAAATACTAAAAATATGAATAAAAAAATGTTTATAAAATCAAGTAATTACCTTATATCTATGGTAGGAGTCATCTGCAACATCTCCATTGTTGCTATTTACCACTTTACCTGTGATTCCGGAATGAAGATATTTAAAGTACAGACCATAAGTATCATCATCATTAATAGAAAATTGAAGACACTAGAATCCGCGATTTTCACATGTTTCTCTTAGATGTAATGTTTGATTTGGCATATACTGATGTGTACAAACTTCTGATACTTAATGAAATTAATATTCTTCACCGAAAAAAAAAAGAAAATTAACCGAAAATGGAAAATTGTCCTAACTTTCAGTTGGATTGGGCGTGAGTTTTTGAAGTTAAAAAAAATATAATTAATAAAACTGTCCATTTAAAGTATAGAAGAAATAAATGAAATTTTTTTCCTTTTTTTTGGTAAACAAAAAATATGAATCTTATTGCATTAAGATATTTGCTAATTCCACAACAGAAATTTAAGGTTGATGAGTTAATGAAGACCTGGATACTTGTGCGTAAAGTAATCCCAGTTGCTGAGACCTTTGCCGTCAGAATTCCATCCTCCTTCCACTTGTAAATTTACGAGAAAACTACGTTATATTGAGATCCATACTCTGAATTAAACTGTTAACAATTCGTTTTCTCTACTAAATCATAAAGAAGAAGAAGGAGGAAAAGAACCTGGTAAGAAGAAGTTGCTGACCCGAAGACAAAACCTTGAGGAAAACTGGTACGATTAAGGACATTAATTCCGAAACTAGGTGATAATGGATCAGCGTTTCGGTCAACTTTATGCAAACCAAAGCTCTTCATGTGAACGCCATAATTACCAAGCACAACATACCCTTGCAAAATCAAGAAAAACCCTAGAAGAAGGAGACGACGACCAAGAAGTTTCATGGTTGATTAAACTTTAATCAATAACTTGACTTCTATACTTATTAAAAAATATGTTACCCTTTTCTGTACTATATATAGTGCAATAAGAGAGTTTGTCTCCAAGCATGATTTTCTTTAGATAGAATCTTATCTGAACTTTTGTAAAAACTCTTATCTGAACTGTTAATTAATTTAGCTTCCACGTTTTCTAGATAATATTTAGGGAAGAAATCTTATGCGATCACATGTGCAAGTTATCATAAATTTGATATAAAAGCAAAAATTGGATATGCACGTACCAAGGACGATCCTTTCGTGCTCGAAATCTTATTTTAATTTTCATATTTACAACATGTCCATGTTATTTTATTTGTTCCATCCTTTTTCACGTAATTTTTTTTTTTTACCATAATGTTACTTTTTAGCACTATTATATCCTACTATATTAGAAACAAAAACCTCCCTTTCAAACACTTCATATGATTGCCACGTGGCATGTAGAAAATACTAAATTACCCTTTTGTCTAACCATAACTAAATTACTAAATCTCCCTTTGCACTTTATGTGGCACATTTTTTTTTAATTTTTTCTTTATGTTTCATTCAACTAGAGTGGTTTTTTAAATTGAATTGATCAATTAGGTTTTTTGTTACAAAGTGTCAATTTTGTTTTAAGTGTATACCCTTCGGATGAAACTTATTACAAAGCTATTAAAAATCTCTAAAACTAAGTATTGATTTGGCACGACCAATGGAGAACGTCAATAAATCATCTTACTAATATTTAAATTTATTAGGATACTTTTGTATTTTATCTAACATTTACTTCAACACATATATTCGATTAAGCTATTTATTTAATAAGTAACACTTATAAAACATTTCTAAAACATACATGGCGAAATACAATTTATTTTTTTTTTTGCGAAATACAAATATTTGTATGATCACACTTATAAAATATTTTTAAATCCTTCAAACATTTCTAAAATATATCGCTCCAAATACAAAATTTTATTTTTTTCAAATATAAACATTTCTAAGATCTACAGATAGACTGGGCCAGGGTCGCGCATTGCGCGACCAGACATCACTAGTATATATATATATATATATATATATATATATATATATATAGTTCAGCATACGTAGTACCATTGAAAACTACTTAATGAATACTGGTATTATAAATTCATGTCTTGTTTACAGTATCCGAAGACATCATCCATGCTAAGTTATATGTTATCTCCTTAGTAATATTCTTGTTAGAGTAGAAGCCTATATAAAATATGAAACTACGGGACGATGGGGACAAGATACATCCAAATAAATTCAACTCTCATGAGTACAGCCATAAACTCATGCCCCATATATTTCTAGAATTCAGGGAATATTTGAAGAGAATAGAATCTCTCTTAGAACCAGTAAAACATTCTCCGACAATATTGCATAATTCAGTTCATGAATCGAACTAATGTTTTAATTTAAAGTAACAGATTTTTCTCTTTAACTATTTTGGTGAATATTTAAAATTAGAAGAAAATTGGATTGATATTAACTCCTATTTATTCATTATTATCTATGTCACGACAAATTTTCATCTGATCCTGTATATAGACAGTATATCATGAGAGTTCAAATATTTAACTTAGAAAAAAAAGGGCTAAAATAGTTTGGTGGGTGACATTGTATTTTTTAGGTTGCTGTATACATTTGATATTCTCTCTCTTTTTTCTCCCGAATATTAGGGTCTCAGACAAAGTAAAGGGAATATTGGTCATAAGTACCATTTTGCTGGGATACTATTATTTCCCAACAATCTTAATCGTTAATTATAGCTGGTTGCAAGAAGAATCCTAAGACAACCATAGTCCAATGATTCTGTCGTTGTTTTCTCTAATTTTTTTATTTTTACTCTAAAAGCATGTTTTTTAAGCTTTTTTTTTTTTTTTACATTTACATTACTAGCACAATATACTACTAGGAAACTACTCCCTCCATTTTTTATTATATATCTTTTTTTAGAGAATTCATCAAAACCAAGAAGACATTGATTAATGTAGTTAAAATACAAAAATACCTTTATTTATTTTCTATACAACTCATGATAAACCAATAGAAATTCATTATAAGTATTGTTTCATTTCCAATGCAAGGATAACATTGGTAAAAGTGATCAAATGTGCCTCGATTTGTGAAAACGACATATATTTTTAAAAAATACCTAACAAAACGACATATATTTTAAAATGTAGGGAGTACCGTTTAGCAAGGGCAGTTTTAGTTGAATTGGTCATTTCCCAAGTCTTATAATGGATATGAATCTACATTACTATAAGGGGAGTTTGTAGGAGTTTGTCACTGGTCACCCCCACACACTTGTAGAGCTGAGGCTTTGGTATAATTAATCATTCTAAAAACTGTTTTTAGTATCTAGCCGGGCTAAGTACCATTTTTATTTTTAAGATTTAGTTTATTTAATTGAAGATATAAAAATTTTAGTTTTAAATATATTAAAAAAGAAAAAAAAAACTGAGGCTGTATCCAGTATACTCGGGGGCACCGTGCCCCCCTCCTATTTTTTTACATTTTTAGTCTTTATTGTACTTTTTTCTCAATCTTTCTATATTTTACACGTTTAGTCCCTGTGAGTTTTTTTCTCTCTCTTCCAAAAAAAACATCCCTAATCTTTAAACGAGCAAATCTCTCAATTCGTGAAGAATTTGTGAACCAATTATGTATGAAATTTATAGTACTCGTCGAGATCTATGCAACAAAATCCATAGTGAATATTTTTTCGGGCTTAAAAATGACTTAATTCTGATGGACAGAATAGGGGTGGATATCCAGTTTTACAAGATGGATAACCAACTTGTTCTAAATTGGTTATCCATCGTGTTCATGCTGATTATCCAATCCGTTATTTAACTGGTTATCCATTTTGTTTCTACTACTTATCCATTTGGTTATCTAACTTCTTAATTCAAAATAAGTTGGTTATCCATCTTCTTAAACTGGATATCCAATGTGTTCATATTGATTATCTAATGCGCTAATACTGGTTATGCAATGGACTTACATGCTTATCCAAATTATTTGTACTGGTTATCCACTGTGTTCATGCTGATTATCTAACTTGTTTGTACAGGATATCCATCCATTTGGTTTGTATGCATATCCAACTCTAATCTTTCAACGAGCATATCTCCCAATCCGTGAAGAATTTGTGAACGAATTATATATGCAATTTATAGTACTCGTCGAGATCTATCCAACGAAATCCACAGTGAACATTTTTTTGGGCCTAAAAATGACTTAATTCTGATGGACAGAATAGCGGTGGTTATCCATCTTCTTTCTTTTTTTCTTTTTTTTTTGTTTGAAGAGTGAATGTCAAACATATGATTGGATAACAAGTACGAACATAATGGATAATCACTCCAAACCGGTTGGATAATCAGTAAGAACACAACGGATAACCATTTTTCAAAGAAAAACAAAAAACACGTTTCTTCAGTTCTGCCCGTAAACTTTAAATGCATTTAAAGTTCAAAAAAATATTCAACATAGATCTTATCGGATAGATCTCGTCAAGTACTATAAATTTCATGTATAATTCGTATTATAATTCTTTACGAATCAAAAGATACAAGGAACACAGCAATATGAATGTGAAATAAGTTGGTTATCCATCTTCTCAAACTGGATATCCACTGTGTTCATATTGATTATCCAATGCGCTAATACTGGTTATCCAATGGACTTACATGCTTATCCAAATTATTTGTACTGGTTATCCACTGTGTTCATGCTGATTATCCAACTTGTTTGTACAGGATATCCATCCATTTGGTTTGTGTGCATATCCAATTCTAATCTTTCAACGAGCATATCTCCCAATCCGTGAAGAATTTATGAACGAATTTTATATGAAATTTATAGTACTCGTCGAGATCTATCCAACGAAATCCACAGTGAACATTTTTTTGGGCTTAAAAATGACTTAATTCTGACGGACAGAATAGAGGTGGTTATCCATCTTTTTTTTTGAAGAGTGAATGTCAAACATATGATTGGATAACAAGTACGAATAGAATGGATAATCAGTCCAAACCGATTGGATAATCAGTAGGAACATAATGGATAACCATTTTTCAAAGAAAAACAAAAAACGCATTTCTTCATTTCTGCCCGTAAAATTTAAATGGATTTAAAGTTCAAAAAAAATATTCAACATGGATCTTATCAGATAGATCTCGTCGAGTACTATTAATTTCATATATAATTCGTGTTATAATTCTTTACGAATCATTAGATACAAGGAACATAACGATATTAATGTATAATAAGTTGGTTATCCATCTTGATTATTTATGTTAATACTGTTTATCCAACTAATTAGTATTATTTATCTAACCTGGTTATTCTTTTTATTATTTTTTTAAAAAATAATAAACTAAGTTGGGTATCCAACTCGTTTGTATTGGTTATCCATTCATTGGTTTGTATCTGATTATCCAATGCGCTAATACTCGTTATCCAATGGATTTACATGGTTATCCAAATTGTTTGAACTGGTTATCCACTGTGTTCATACTGGTTATCCAACTCGTGCATACTAGTTATCCAACAGATTTACATGGTTATCCAAATTGTTTGAACTGGTTATCCACTGTGTTCATTCTGATTATCCAACTTGTTTGTACTGGATATCCAACTTAATTCTGCCCAAAGAAATTTGATCATTTTTAAACTAAAAAAAAATATTCGAAATGGATTTTGTTGAATAGATCTCGACGAGTACTATAATTTTCATGCATAACACGTTCTCTAATTCTTTACGGATTATGAGATATGGTCATTGAAAGATTAGAGATGTTTTTTTTTTGGAAGAGAGAGAAAAAATGACAGGGACTATACTTATAAAATATAGAAAGATTGATGAAAAATACAATAAGGACTACTCGTGCAAAAAATAGGAGGGGGGACACGGTGCCCCCGGGTATACTGGATAATTTGCC